AAACAAACAGATTTTGACTTACCACAAATCCAAATCCATTCTTGAGCACAATGTCTCGAATACGTCCGTATCCACGGAAGAAATGCTCGATATCGCGTTCAGAAGCACGATACGAGAGACGACCGATATAAACGCGAGTAGCCATGACAAGTTATCAGCGTAACAGCAACAAGCCGAATGACGCCCCTGACCACCCGCGAATCGACCGCGCACGCCCGCGCCTTTTCGAAATGGCTCGCGGCGGGGTTCCTGCATGGAAAGTGGCACTGTAGCACTGAACATCTGGGAAGTTTGCCAGATTTTGAAGGGAATGTTCTGCCAATGTTGCGGCGTTGCTTATTCCGAAGTTCTTTGCTTGCGAGGAGATCGTTAGTTGTTTTGGGCATTGAAACCAGGTATGCCATCAGTAAAAACCATTTGAAATGCTTTTATGAATATTAGCTCTGGGATGAGAAGTTACCAGTTGTCAAACGAACTCAGAGGTGTTTGGATGTGGTGTGTAGTCCTTCTCATATCAGATTTAGGAAGTATTGCCTTTTAGTGCAGTTTTGAAGTAGAATGAAAAATATTTTTAGAGTAGGTCGGTGGACGGCGTAACCGGATAGCCTCGGATTAGTTTTGTGGACCCCTTCAGTAAGTAGAGCTTGAGCTAAATATGTGATGATTTAGAGTTGGAGTAGGGAGGTTAGCATTATTCTTCGGGTAACGTAGTAGTAGATGAGGTTTCCCCCGTAGGCGAAGATAGATGGTAACTAACCGATGCCGTGTATTTACTGATTGTTGGGTATATTTCGATAGATGCTCATTCTCACCTTATGCAGTGGAGTCCTTTTCGCAGACGCTAGGCACACGAGGGGAGTTGGTTTGAAAGTCCTACAGGATTACTTACATCCTTCGATTCGACCGTATAAGGATTCCGCAAAAAGGCACAATGATGGGTAACAAGCATATATCCCAGTTCAAGCAGTATATTGATCCGTCAAATCAGTAGATCCCATTTGGGAACGCAAAAGAGAGTGACAAAACGATTGAGTTCCCACGAGTTTATGATCTACCCATTTTCCTTCATGTTTCAGCTGCGACGATACCGCTGTGGCTTTGGTACGTGATGACAAGAAAGTATTGTCTTCGCAAAGATTTGCCGACAGGGATACACAACGTAGATTGGGCGGAATATCTCCGAGAGAAGTAGCTCTCCAGGTGTGCTTCTTTACAATAACCTTACTATTTGTTTCGGTGATTTTCATGCACACTACGGTGATGTGCTTATTTCCCTATGAATTTTGGTGTTACTAGAGGCCCGAAAGGAATTTGATTACCACGCGCTTTTATAGGTACAAAGACGTTATCGCATAACTTTAGCACAAAGCGCATCTCCCTCGACTACTTGATGAATGTCTCAAAGAATCTGGTTATGCAGTCTCCGATGTCGACGCCATAGCCGTAACAACAAAGCCTGGTCTGGTTATCGCGCTCAAGGAGGGAATACGAAAAGGTCTAGAGTTGTCGAGGTACTTAGACGTTAGCTTGACATTTTTCATTCTCTGTTTTTAGATTCTACAAAAAAGACCTCATCTCCATTCATCACATGCGAGCCCATGCTTTGTCTGCATTTTTGGTGTGTGATTCTCTGTCTTTTCCATTTGTGTCTGTTTTGATTTCTGGTGGCCATGCACTGATAGTTCTAGTCCGATCGGCAAGCAACTTCACTATATATGGTAAGTCACAAACTCTCCAAACTGTTTTGTTCTCTCCTGCTAGCTGATTTCTAGCGGAAACATTCCAGGTGAGAGCTCCTCAGGGAGCCCAGGAGAATGTCTCGACAAAATTGCGAGGGAGTTAAAAATCAATGAAATGCCAGAATTTTATGACGTTCATCCTGGAGCTGCTGTTGAGAAGTTAGCGAGTAGGTAATAGTCTACTTTTTGTGTTATTACAACTCTTATTCGTGGAATTCATTGCTGAACTCATTTCGTTTGCTGATTCACTGTTTTTTTT